TCATCAGTAAATTGAGAATGAGAAATTGCCTGCTACCTGAGAGAAAAGATGCTAAGGAACAGATGAAATTCTGTTGCTATAAGGTGCTACAGTCATTCCATTTGAACACCTTCTACAATTTAAATATCCTTGGTGGGGGCATAAAATTTGAGAGTGTAAAGCCTGGTGAGTGGGGAGTAACAGGGGAGGGGTCAGGGTGATGGAGTAACCACACTCAGGGATACCCCACTATATGGTGGAAACCTCATCCAGTGAGCAGGCTGGCCCTCAAAAGCAGCTGGGGGGGTGGGGGGTTGCCACTGCCATTTAAATTGTGTCGGGGTGGGGGGCCTCCCTGGTGGCGAAGGGGGTTGAGCGCCGCACTGTGGGGCTGTCCGTGTCCTCTGGGGCGCAGGTTCGATCCCGGCCAGCCAGCGAGAATCCCACATGGCGAAGCAGACCTTTCTGTCTTGCCCTCTGCTCCCCTCAGCAGTGTATTTCTTCAGTCTGCCTGTTCTGTTCCCCACTCTGTCTCCGGTGAATCCTCTCACCCTCCTGGCCTGTACCCTGGTTCTTGTATTAAAAAAAAAAAAATTTGTGTCTGGGTTAAAGCTTTTACTGAGCCCTTCAGAGCTGCCCAGCCATTCTGGTTACATCATGAACCTGGCATTTAAGCTTAAGTGGAATTAGATGTGGGGTTTTTTGCTCATCAAATTCTTTAGTTCTTAGAAAATATAAATAAGTTGATGGGCTTGCCTGCTTGCTGCTAGATCTTTCCATTTTCACAGTGGTTTCTTTATTTCTGTGATTCCTACTGCCACCCTGGTTCAACTCCTTCCTGCCTCTTCCACCCTTCACATCATCTTAGGCCCACATAGTTTCTCTTGTCCCTGGCTGTCAGAAACTCAGTTTTCTACACTAGCAGTTTTCCTTCCATTGTAAACTGGTCCCATCGTGCTTGGCTTACTTCCAGCTCTGATATTGCTCCAACAAGTAGGGTGAAAGCCTAGGATACTAATTCCAGTTCTGAAGTGAAACTGTCTCCCTTCTCTAAGCAGCTCCCAGCTGAGAAAATAGTATGACAGGTTTCCTAATCTTTATACTTCCATTCCTTCCCTAGACTGTTGCCAGACTGATCTTTCTAAATGGAGATGTTACTTACTTGCTCTACAGTCTGTTCTTCATTGCCCACCAGGGTCCCAGGGCTGAGCAGGAGCACAGATGGCTTTGTTTGTCCTGCACAGTATTGGGCTCCGCAAGGTTTTAAACACTGTAAGTTAGAACATTAAAGATGAAATCTTAAATTTGGGTTTCTCCTGGAAGATTGTTAAACACTGGGTAACAGGAACTAGGTGGGGCTTCCCTTCAGTCACAGCATGAGTTCTCCAGAGAGCACAGCTACCACTCATTATCCAGGTAGGTACTTGTCTTTGCTCCCCCACTACAGGATCAAGTTCTAAACTTTTAACAGGTGTGCAGGATCCCTTCTAACTAGGCTCCATGTTGTACTTCATCTCTTGCCACATTCCTATCATGGCTGTGCTCTGAAATGGTTAGATTATGGCTGTGCTCTGAAATGGTTAGTTGTTTGCCTGTTTGAGTTGCTTACTATTTTAATTAAAGAGACCCATTTTGCAGATCTTTGTGAAACATCTATTAACAGCCAGGCATATGCCTGACCTCCAGACACCATTGCAGAGTGTCTCAAGAGAGTTACGTTTTAGATTTTCATGGTGTATTGATCCAAAGCTTCCGTGAAGAGCAAAAACAGGGAATAGAACAGATGGGGCTTTTTCTGTGCTTTTATGGTCATTTCCAAAACAAATATGTTTCATTTGGTTACTTGGTTATGTATTTACAGACAATGTGCTCCAGTGAGGTCTAGGGCTTAGCAGCAAGATGATGGTTTACCTCAGCTAGGATATCTGTTGTCAAACATTGCCCATTCTTTCCCAGAATTACAGGAAAATTGATATGTCAGTTAGCCTCATTACTTGTACTTCCAGATAACAAAATCAGTTTGAGCTATTGAGTAGTTACTTCATTGCTGTCATGTTAAGTCTGGAAATTTGCAGAGGAGTGGTTTTTAGAAATCTGGGCATTTGCTTCTCAAGTTTTAAGAAATTGCTGTTTAGGTCGGTTTTGATCTTACTGCTGTCATCACTATTCTGGTTCGGAAACCTGATTTCCCTAGGAGGATTTAAGTTTGGGAAATTTCTCTCACCTTAACCAAACTCATCAGGTCTCTTTGTGAACTGGAATATCCTTCTTTGGCACATTTATTGAACACCTATTGAACACCAGTGTTTAGCCCTGTCCTAATATCTGGGGAAATGAAAATGAATCGTAAATACAATATGTCCTTGTTGTTTAGAAGCTTGTAGTCCAGAAACGGATTGTGCTCTGTGTAGATTCACCTTACCTCCTGGGACATCCTGCGTAATCCTGTTGTCCTGCTGTAACTATTAATGTTGTCCCTTGTGGACCAGGAAAAAGACAAATTAATACAAAGTAAAAATCAAAATCAGCAAGCAACTATAAACTAGAGACACACTGGGGGAGAGGTAGGGGGAGAGGAAGGATTAGGGTCAAAATAAGGGGGTGGGAATTGTATGGGGAATATAACCAAAATGAAAATGCATACATTGTGCAAAAATGAAAAATGATGTAAGAATTATATAAAATAAAATATGTAAAAAAATATTGTCCCTTGTGAAAACTAAGGGTCATAAATAAAAGTCTCTATGAATATCCGGGTATAGAGTTGTTTAGAAAGGAGAGAAAAATCAACCTGTTTTTCCAGAATAGACATGAGCTGGTTGATGAAGGACATTTGGGGCAGTCAAGGTTTGAGAGATTAAGGTGGGGGTGGCGGAGGGGAATGTGAGTAGATGCAAAAGGGAGACTCCTGGAAGCAGCAATTAATTGGTTCAAGCTAGTAATTGTTTTCAAATTTATCCCGTGGGGGAATAATTCCTTAGAACACTTGGTAAAAATTCAGATTTCTGGATTCTGCTGGCAATTTGGATTTGTGTCTTTAAAGAAATGTCCCAAATAGTTCTTGGACATATAAAAGTTCCCAACTGGTACTGATTATGTCTAGGAATACAAAGGGCCAGGAGCAGAGAACAGGTACAGCTAGATGAGAGCACAAATCAGGGGTCAGCCAGGTAGGGTGACCCAGGTCAGAAACTCTCAGAGGTAAGTGTTACAGTAGCTCCATTAAAGAGGGGGAGAGTCAGTCACAATTAGCATGCAGAAGAATGAAAAGATTCCAGAACTACTTAGGAGGAAGAATGACCAAGTATGTGCCAGTTTCTGATTTACATAGGGTAGTATTATTTCCAGGCAACAAAACACGTGTCAAATCCAGGACACCCTCCCCGCCATGCCTTCTGAAGTTTTACATGGTGAGCCATAAACCAAAAATAAGGTACAGTTCAGTGGTATTGTGGCATATTTCATGTGGATACCGCCAGAACGACTCCTGCTATTTTATTTTCCATCTTTGTAGTCTCCACAACACCTGTGATGGTTGTTTTTAATCTTTGGGAAGATGCTGGATGAATTCTCAAGCTTCCTGACACTCCAACCCTCTATTAACCCCTGCCCTTCTGTTATGATAAGACTATCTACCAGGCCTTATCTCACATTATTACTGCTTTTGTTTTTGTTATTGAATCCCTAAGACGTCATGGTCATGATTCATCCACAATATATGTACCAACCCTCCTCAAGGGAGAAAGTCTGCCTCAGCATAATTTTGTACCCAAATTCTGGAGCTGCTCTCTCTGTGGGAACCTCACAGATTCACCACAGTCTTGGAAATTACAATAGTTTAAGAAACACCTTGTCTGGGCAAAGATATCATTACACCGGTGTTTGAGGCAGTCGATTCACCTGAAAGAAGTACATTCTGAGAGGAGCAATCCCTAAATGGAATCCCTACATGGAGAATGAAGACAATCCTAGGCGAGCTCTGCTATCTCCCCCTGCTTTCTAACAGAGACGGTTTTTATTTTGAAGGCTGCCGTCTTCAGGCCTGTTGGCATACTTCTGATGCAGCAAACGAAGTCTGAAATCAAAGACTTAGAAGTTATGAAAAGAGAGCCTCAAAAAGGAGTGGGAAACCGATCAGGCTACAATTTCACTGGGTAATTTAGCACACTTTACCCAAGACCAGGCCACAGAGCTTCCACGAGTGCTGTCTGGGGAAGGGCGAGGCATCTAAAATTCCAGCCCCTGGCTCTCTTGCAGCGTTGCTGAGAGATTTCCAAATCCTGGGAGTGCTAGAGAGGGTTGAAGGTGAACAGTCTGAAACCGTCCACGCTGTCAGTGTCAGGGAGGGGGAAGTACCAGTTAATAGCAGCCTCAAGGTTTTTTTTTTAAATTTTTAAAAATTTATTTATGCATACAAGAGCTAGGGTACAGGCCAGAGATGCGGGGGGGGGTGGGTGAGAGGATCCACCCAGAGACAGAGTGGGGAGCAGAACAGGCAGAAGACAGAAATACACTGCTGAGGGGAGCAGCGGGCGACACAGGAGAGGTCTGCCGCACCATGTGGGTAGCTCCCTGGCTGACCGGGACTCGAACTCATGCTGCAGAGGCTGCGGACTGCTCCACAGCGCGGTGCTTAACCCCATGAGCCACCAAATTTTTTTTTTTTTTTCAAAGTAAGAGGCTTAACTCCAGTGCGATCCAGTATCTCCCACGCCACAGTGGCAAGATGAAGAAATGAAAATTAAAAGAGGAACAGCCCGGCGTCACCGACGCGGAAACCGGCTCTTCGCCGCTCCTAACGCCGACGCGGCGGTTGGGGGCGCCCGGGTCCTCCGCGGCGGCCGGAGTCGCGGTCGGGACGCCCCCTCCCCGCAGTCCAGGCGCGACCAACGCGGCGCCGCGGCAGGGGGATCCGGCGGGCGCGACGCTGACTTCAAAGGCCCTGCGCCGCCGCCGCCCCCGCCCGCGCGCGCCAATAGTACGGTCCGAGGGGGCGGCTCCTGGGGCGCGGCTCCCGCCGCAGCTGATGCGCGCCCGCCGGCCGGGAGGCGGGAGACGGAGACCCCGAGCCGCCGAGGCCGAGCCGCTCTGCCGGGCGCTGCGGGCCGGGGCCCTGAGGAGGCGCCAGGAGAGACGTCTGCCCGGCGGGAGGCGCCCGGGGCGAGCGGCGCCGAGGCCGCGCCGCGGGGGACGGAGCACGGAGAGGACGCGCGCTGCCCGCCGGCCGAGAGGAAGCGCTCCGCCCGCGCCCCCGACGGCGCCCGTTTCACCACATCCGCGCCTCGGCTGAAAGCGCTTCCCGGCGCCTGTCACCGGTTCCCTCCATTTTGAAAGGGAAAAAAGGCTCTCCCCTTCCCCTACTCTTAGGCGCCGGAGCCGGAGCAATGGCGTTCAGCCCTTGGCAGATCCTGTCCCCCGTGCAGTGGGCGAAATGGACGTGGTCCGCGGTGCGTGGCGGGGGCGCCGAAGAGGACGAGGCCGGAGGGCCCGAGGGCGACCCCGAGGAGGAGGACTCGCAAGCCGAGACCAAATCCTTGAGTTTCAGGCAAGTACACGCATCCCAGTCGAGATGCAGACGTGCTGCCAGCCATCCATCCATCTGCGGCTCATTCTGTGCGTGTGTGTGCTCGCCCACCCGCGTAACCGTTTTCATGGCAATGTTGCGTGCCTGCCCTTAACCAGGTCCCCGCTGTGCATTCGAAAGTTCAGAATGTTCTGGCTGCCTGTGTGTTTTCTATCCCCCCAGTTTCAGTATGAGCTTTCGGAACCCACCCCAGAATCTGCAGTGGCTCCGCATCCCCATCCGCCTTGGTCGTTTTTTCGCTAAGCTTTGCTCCTCCCGGTCCTTGAAACACACACGCACACACACACACACACACATACCTGGTGGAATTTAGGGTCCTCCCTATAAGGAAGCAGTCTCCCCCCACACCCACGACTGTGTCCCGAAAAATGCAGCCTTGGTTCAAAAAAAAAAAAAAAAAAAAAAAAAAGGTCGTGTGATGACAGGCCCCTGGCAGCTGGTGAGAAATGGTGGTCTCTGCTGAGCTGTCACCCGTATGATTGCGAAAGGCAGGTGACAGCATTCTCAGCCTCCAGCCAAGTCAGTGCTTGCAGGTAGAGAAGTCTTCCGAAGAAAAAGGCATCGAGAAGAAATTGCCTTACATTTTTTAGGGGGAGAGGGACAATATTAATTTTTTAGCCTCTGGAAAAGGGCTCTTACAAAAGGGCTCTGGTGAGGTAAGGAGTCTGTTGGAATGCACTTTTTTTTTCCGGGTGTCAGAGGGAAGGATGACCTCAAAAATAAATGGTGCTGAAGGAAGACTCTGGAGGATGGAGATTTCAGGGAGACAGGTTGGCAGACAGAAGCCTGAGGAGGACACTGCTAGAAAATCCACTGCAGCTCCTGCAGGCCAATCCGTGCTGAGACTCTCGGGTTGTAAAGTTAGAGACAAATGCTGGACTTTAGTCTGTGTGGATACATAGGTTATAAAGGGTGTCGGAAATACCGTTGAAAGTGGTAATTCCTCATTTTTCCCCCTTGGCAGCTCGGATTCTGAAGGTAATTTTGAGACCCCTGAAGCTGAAACTCCCATCAGATCTCCTCTCAAGGAATCCTGTAATGCACCGCTAGCATTGACACCACCTGGGGCCAAAATCCAAGGTAAAGCATGACTTGCTTTCTCTGTCTCTTTTGTTTTAATGTTTTGAAATGTAAATGAAGGGAAGTAGTTATAACTTAGAGCCATTTAAAAGGGTTTGTCTTTTAGGTAAAACTGAGAAGGAGCATTATTAAAGGTCCTGGCCTATTTGAAATGTTTGTTTTGGGATGGTACTCTTAGAGGCTTTCTTCCTTAAGTACTTTGTACCTTTGCAGTATAAGATTATCATTACTAAATATTCCTGCTGGACCCCCTGATTCCCCTGAGTATCCCCGCCTCCCCCAAAAAACCCCTGTATAGGGCCTCCCCAGTGGCTCAGAAGTTGAGCGCTGGGTTGTGAAGCCGCCCGCAGCTTCTGCAGCGCGGGTTCTATCCCCAGCTGCCACCGGACAAGGGTCCCACATGGCCCTCAGACCTCTCTTGCCTCGCCCACTGTTCCCCTCAGCAGTGTGTTTCGTCAATCTGCCTGTTCTGTTCCCTGCTCTGGTTCTGGTGAATCCTTTCATCCTCCCGCACCTCTGGTCTGTACCCTGGTTCTTGTATAAATAAATAAATCTTTAAAAAAAAATAAAAAACAAAACCCTGTATAATAATGCAGAGGTAAGGTTATATTTAGATTTGGCTTCACAAATTTCTCAAGCTAAATTCTTTTGACGGGTGTGGCTGGAGACAATTATAGGTAAGAGTTTTCCTTTTTTTAGATAAGGAGGAATCTTAAAAGGTTGTTTGGGAATTTCTTACCTCTCCCTCTTCCAGGCATAGATGGTGGTGAGCCCCTCAGTCTATCTAAGAAAACATGACACAGAGACTCTCCTAGCCCCTCAGTGCCCAACCTTGAGCCTGCCCTTCGTTTATGGGAACTCCTGCTGTTCCACTTAATTAGTAAAAACCTTTTTGTCACAAGGCCAGTTTTGAGTAAACTTTCACCTGTCCTGATAAAATACACTTATTCAATCAATAAATAGAATGCACTGTGATTCAGCAATGAAGAAGTCCTGCTGTCATGGAGCTAACATTATAAATCTCTCTTTTAGAACTTAAGCAAAATATTGCTGTCGATCTGTTAGTTATTATGGAGAATTATAAAACATGAGAAGAAGGAATAGGATGTTTGGGGTAAGGATAGGAGGATAGGAAATGCTGAAGGGCAATTAGGGGGAACCTTACTGAAAAAGAATCTTGAGCAAATTGAAGGAATAAACCTTCCCACATTACTGCACCAGAATCCTTCCAGCAGAGGGAATAGCATCTGCAAAGTTCTTAAGACAGGACCAACCTATGACGGAAAGACCTGTAGTGGGAGGATAGCAGCCTGACAGAGGCCAGTGTGGCTGCAGTGGAGTGACTAGGTGGCTGGTTGAAGTCAGCCAGATAAGGAGAGGTCTGGAATTTATTGTGAAGATGCTTCAATTTTTTTTTTTTTCCTCTCAGTGACAGGAAGCCATCAGGGGTGTGTTAAGCTTCCCAGGGCAACCTTAAGAAAGTGCTGGTGGTCTCACTCATAGTAGGAATCTAGAAAACTTAAATAAGGGACCAGGAAAAAAAAATAACTATAAGAAAGAAAATATCAAAATCAAACAACTATGAACCAGAGATACTCTATGGGGCGTGGAGGGCGGGGAAAGGAGGAATTGGGGTCAAAATAAGGGGGTTGTAATTGTATGGGGAATATAAAAATAAAATTTAAATAAAAAAAAGAAAGTGCTGGGTGACTTAAAATAACAGAGCACAGTGACTTAAAAAGAACAGAAATCTATTCTCTCACAGTTTTGGAGGCAAGAAATCTGAAATTAAGGTTTTGGCAGGACCATGTACCTTCCAGTACATCATGACTTTTCTGACAAACCCAATAGGAAAGAATCCTTCCTTTCTCTTCTACCTTTTGGTGATTGTCATTAATTCTTGGTGTTCTTGGCTTATAACAGCCTAACTGTAGTCTCTGCCTCCTTCTTTACATGGCTTTTTTGTATGTCACCATGCCTTCATGTGGCAGTTGCATAAGGACACCAGTCACTGGATTTAGGGACTACCCTAATCAAGTGTGACCTCATCTTATATTGATTACATCTGCGAAGATACTTTTCCCCAGTAAGACCACATTTGTGTTATAGGGAGTTAGGACTTCAATTTATCCTTCTGAAAGACACAGTTCAACTCACAGCTGAGGCCTTTGAGCAGAGGGGTCATGCTTTGATTTCTTTTTTTAAAGTCTTAACTGTCTGCTATATGGTGAAGGGACTCTGGGATGAATGCCTTCTTTACCTGGGTTTCCATTCCACTGTCTATCACTGTTGATCTCCAGCTTTCCGGTAGAAGCTGGCTTCCAGCTAGCCAGTCACCTTGTTTTTGCACCAATTGTGGTTTTTTTCCTCTTAACGATTACTGTATTTTATTGCTTAGTCACTTCTTCACAGGTTGCCTAGGAAGTCATTTTCTCTAGTGATAGAATTCATGACAGAATTATTGGTGAAATGATTTCAGCTTTTGTGATTTGGCTTTAAATTTGGCTTTAATTCCCTTAAAGAGAATTCAGCCCTGGGCTGCTTTTTATCATTGTTTTAGGCAGAGACGGCATGGGAACAGGCAGTATAAATATTGGAGAACTTGTGCATGCATTCTGCTTTGTAGCACTCTCAGTGACGAAAGATGCCTCCTGTTCTTCATGGCTTCCCTTTTTGTCTCTCAAGATGGCACATCAGAAGGGAGATTTCAAAGACTGATATAACTGTTTTGTAGTCTTCCCGTCAAATTTAAATGAAGCTCACAAAATATTTTAAACAGCAATTTGAAAGCCTCTTTGAAATTGCCCTCAGCTTGAGCAACCTCTTCCTTATCATTGTCAGCGGTACAATGATTCATTTTTACAAATTTATTACTAATTGAATAAAGGCCTGTATGAACTATGTCTCCAGAGCCATAGAGACCCAATTGTTTAGTCCTTCCTGTGCAACTCACTTATTATTACAAGTTTTGGTAGCTTTTAGTGGACACTCTCCTTTTCATTCTAAAAGTTTTCCTTTTAGAGAGTCCTTTTAGAGAAGCTCTTTGAAGTCATTCATGATTATAGACCGTTTGTATGGTGGTGTGAGTGGGGTGCACAGTCTAGGAAACAACCACTACATATTATGAAATCTCTCAATTTAGGATCCTCAAAAATAGAATGAATAATTGCTTATCACCCTGAGAGTACCTGCCTTCTTGGACTTTTTCTCCCCAACATCTAGAGCCAGGCCACAGTCCTTTTCATGACCTTACTGTACATACACAGTAATATATATGTGTATACATAGTAAATGTGAAAACACAAAAACCAAGTACAGTTCTAACCAGGGAGGATACCAGTAGTTAGAAATTTTTCGAGAATCATTTTATGTTGAAATTTACTTTCTGGGCCTAGGATGAGTCCATTTCTCCCAAAATTGTTGATTATTTTGCTCCTGATAAGGTTAGTCTTTCTTATTTCCATGGCATTAGGACTTGGTGGTACAGTAGTTAAAGATTATATAACACTGTATCTTCCAGAGGGATGAGTTATGATCATTATCCAATCAGGTTGGAGCTTACATAATAAAAAAATCTGTCTTTCTGATAGATAATGGTCCTCAAGTGTGTTATGTCCCATACTCTATACCAACCTCCATCTAATTGTTTTAATTCAGGGCAACATCTAAGTCTATTTTGAAATTAATTTTCTTTTTGTTGGAAGTTTTTTAAGGACTTAGAATATCTGACCTCTGTAATAACTTTTTTGCCCTCCAAGTAATGTTTATTGAGGTAAAATTGGTTTACACCATTGTATTTGTTTTAGGGGTTAGAGGGTCAAACCTCTACAAATTCATGTTTTCGTACCATGCCCACCAGCCACCAAAGCCCCAGTAATCTTCCACCATATCCCATTGGGCCCACTCACTCCCCCACTCCCACCCTGCCACTCTACACTTCTGTTTGCCTCAGTTTTGCAATCAGATGTGAAGGGTTTGTTTATAATAACTTTATAAAACAGAATTTTTTGCCATTCTAGGAATTACATGGTGGATGAAGTGGTGGATTATTTTTTTCCAATGCCAAAGATACAAACTGATTTCAGACTAACTGATAAAATATAACTATAGCCAATGAGGTTTCTTGAAAATATCAAAATAGTGGCTATTATGTTTGGGTTATAGTTCTCTCTGCCTTCCCCCACAAAGGGTGTTTAAGCTGCTGCTGTTGCCGTTCTTCCTCTTTGCTGGGAGATGTATCTGTGAGGAGATATCACCTAGGACAGGATTTTTGAAAGAACTGAAATCTCAAATCCTCCCTCCCTCTTGTGTATCTATTTGTGTGTTTACACAGGCTTATGGACTGTGATTTTATCCATTGTTTTAGTTTTAGGCTATAAAGCTGCAGTGGCTGTCCTCTACTTGGTAAGGTCCTTCCTTCTACCCTCCTGCTTCCCACAGTCTTCCCCTTACTTGTAACCCCTCCCCTTTATTTTCCTGACCATTCATCTCTCTTTGAAGGAGAATCCTAATTCTGCACAGAAGCTCTCATATGCCCTTGGAAGTACTGGGTAAACCTACCCACTCTGATATCTTAATTAATGCCTAAGGTATTTCAAAGACCTATTATAGATGTCCAAAATGGAAAGAAATAGATAAACAGGATCCATTCACACATATTTATTGCTGGAAGCATTGTGGGAATGCTGAGTTGTTTGTCCATACTGTTTTTTTGGCTGGTTGGTTTGTTTTATAATTAGATCAGGATTCAGCAAACTATGGCTCAGAGACTCCAGTCTATCTTCATTTATTGTTCAGTCCCAGGGCTTAGAAGTGGTTTTACATTTTTAAGTGGTTGAAAACAATCTTTTTATAATGTGTAAAAATTATGTGAAATTCAGACTTTAGGGTCCATAAATAAAAGTTTTGTTGGAATGCAATCCTGTTCATTCATCTAGGTGTTGTCAGTGACTGCTTTTACATTGCAATAGCAACACTGAGTACTTGGAACAGATTCTGAA